GACTGCAAATGTGGAGGTAGAGTAGTTAGTCCATGACCCACCCGATCACGTGGACTGAACAAAATGAAAGTAAACCTCGTTTTCTGCATGAAATAAATCCACTTTCTAAAATTGATACATATCTGGAGGATAAGACTATCCACCCAACCCCCAAATGCTACTTAATTATAGCGTCCATCCCTGATTATGACTCCTGCTTTCAGCCCATTTCACAGAAAGTTTGCTGATCTGTGATCTAAGCCAGCAGATAAAAAAATCTTTTCCGTCCTCAACTGATAATCCTGAAATTTAACACATTTCTGCCCTCAGTGTAAACGGAATGTTTCGGATAACCAAACAAACACCAAAAGTAAACGGCGACTACCAAATTAAGTGATAGTGAATGTGCTCCTGAATCAGGATCCGTTTTATTATGCTGTGATAACTACCAGACTAGTCGTGCATAAAGTTGTCATTTATTTAGGCCTTTTTTAAATAAGAATAGATTCGCTATAGTCGTGATGGGGAGAGAGGCGCAATTCAATGGATTGAAGTCAGTTTTCCATTAACACGGGGAAACTTGTTAGTTCACGGTTTGAGCAAACGATAAAAGCAAACATTCCGAATGGAGATTGCATGTGATTGTGAACGTGCTCCATGCATTGACCAGAACTTACTCGCAGGGCCTCGAGGTGAGCTTAGTAGCCGCGCATATCGGTCGAGACTGACAGAAGGCCAGTCCGTTTCATTTGGTTGGAAAGTATGGAAACTGACCACAGTAGTATTGCCTTAGAATTATTCAACGGTGATCTTAACAGGTTCATTCTGGCAAATGGTAAGCACCCATAATCGTGTGTTTTCTCAATTTCCCCCCTCGTCAGAAATCACATGGTACACAGATCCTTGGCAGTAAGCTAGTGTGTTGATAAAGTGAGACGGAGGGAGTTACCATTGGACTAATGTTATCAAGTCTCTTCGTCATAGATTCTTAATATTATTTGAATCTTCAATGGTTTCCTTTCCAAAAAAAAGCAATTTTCTCCTATCAACACTTTATTCTATGTATTCTGAAACAAAAGGAGTATTGAAATACTGAGATGTTCCGTTTCTGCCGCCACCGCCGCCATCTTGAAATGTACCTCTAACCCGAGATTTCAAACAACAGCGGCGTTCCTGTAATATCAGAATTTACTTTGTGTAAGTAGCATTGACTATACCCCGCCAGACAACCTCGTCCCCAGGGCCTTCTCGACGATTTTCAAAATGGCGGCTCGTTTTCATCAAGGCCCTAGGGACGAGGATGCCCCGCCAGAGTATGTATGGTGCTCTAATCGCGGACGGAGACCGTCACTTGTGAAGTATTTAGCAGCATCTTTCGGAAGGGGCTTGCAGCAAGAGACGATAATCGTCTCTTGATAATTTAGTTCGTCAAGGAACGTAAATAACAAATTGCGTTATCTCGTGTGGTACACGCGGATATCTGCGAGGATGCCGCCGGGGAAGAAACGAAGAAAATCAACGGTTTGTTATTGAAACTGATCATGATGAGCAGTTTCGATTTCAATTTTAACTCAAGCTTGTTGAAAGCATCCTTGACATTGAATGAGAAAACGAGGGTGATGCAAAACCAAAATGAATGCAGTCAGGATCCCATGATGCAGTGACAGTTTTCAGCTCCTGCAATTTTTGAATATTTAAAACACAAATCTAGTGGAAAAGCAGGCTAAGAACGATCAAGAATTTTCGGAGCAATTCCTGTTAGTCTGGGTCACGAAAAAGCTCATCCTTTTCTTATAACTCAATAAAACCGACAACAATTTGCTTGTACACCTTGTGGACAATTTGTTACTTTTCTTTCTTTGAAACCAAAGTTCTGCGATCTGCGATCGAAACGT